TGACCACATTAATTTAGTAATATATACATTAAATAATTGCTATACCGCACCGCGACAAGATTGGCGGGAGATTACTATGGCTTTCAATGTCCTGTACAGCGCGCCGCTGCCGCCAGACACCCTTTCCCTTTCCGCTGCTATAACTCGACCCTATGAACCTAGTCGTGCCTAAACACAGTCTACTTACAGCAGTCTTGGGAGAAAGGGGTCGCAGATACACAAAACCAGGTCACTAACGAGCTTTACTTTGACCTTGATCATATTTCCCTTCCGCTCTGATACTCCGAGCCTAATTGAGCCTTAGCGCTGCCCATAAACATAGTCTATTACACGTTTGGGAGAAGGTCGTCAGCCTACCAACCAGAAAACCAGGTCACTACGACCTTTATTTGACCTTTACCTTGACCTTGATCATATTTCCCTTCCGCTCTATAACTCGGCCCCTAATTGACCTAACGCGAGCAAACTTCGTATACTTACACATCTTGGGGAGAAGGTGTGTCGCGTACCACAACCCCTAAGGCAACCAATTTTAACATACTTGCACATCTCAGGCAGATGAGTTGTGTAACAAACCTTTGTCTTTGTGACTTATTTAACTTTACCTACCTTTTACGTCCTTACAGAGATATTTCATTCATACTAGATCACGGGGAATACATGTAGTTGGCGATAACTGCCGTTTCTAGTTATGTTTATTATTATAATTATATTATTATTAATACATTATCAAAGCTTAAAGTCGTGTTGTCTTTTAATGTTGGAAATAGGCATTTTAGAATGTTCTCAGGTCGTAACTGTTAGAACTATAACAGCTCCTCCCCCCATAACATTAGCTGGTGATTAACGTTAACTAGGTGTTTTAAATAATATGGTGTCATCCATTGTGATATGGTGTCTTTCTGTAGGAGTCGGTGCTAAATGGCAGGCTGGAACCTGTTGGAACTGTAGAGGGATTCAGTGCAGAAATAGGTGCCAGCGGTGTGTTCTGCCCAACCCACATCACACTGCCTATCACCACTTTCTTCTATCACGTGTCTGAAGACGATGCCCCCTCGCCTTTCCTGGTAAGACTTTCATTCTCTTCTCATCTCTCTATAACATTAGAAGCTAAACTGTTGAAGTACTGTGCAATTAATTATAATGTTACCAGGAGATCATTGCATCATAATTCTTGAATTCATGCGTGATGGTAATCAAAAATTAATGTTTAATCAAATGCAGTATGCTTCAGTCAATTGTACTCTTTATCAATGTACGGTACAGGTACTATAAGAACATATTAGTGGTTTTTCGGTGTCTTTTTAGGGTCATGTAAATCTAGGCAAAAAAGGATACAGGGTTCCTAGCAAAGGCACAGTGCAAGTGGTAAGTGTATCAGTGTTTATGATACCTCATGTTTTATTAGCTTTCTTGACAAGTGTGTGATCCACCTCGGCTGCAATGCAGGCGCAGCACTAGATTGCTCACCAGATAGAAATTATCCATTCTATTCTGTTAATAATGAATCTAATCTGCAATCTGCATTTATGTTGTTCTTTGTGTTTCTTTCGTAGCCACCCAGAAATGAATCCATAACACAAAGATTTGCTATTTTCTTCCAATAGTTTACCTAGTCAGAATCAACAAGTTATTGCAAAAACCTGTTTGGCAAGGAACAATTATTTAGTAGGTGTGAAGTAAAAAATCCGTATGGATTAGTCCCTTTGTTCAGGGGGAAATTCGAGCTCTGCTTCTGTGCTGGTGGCATATTAATTAGGTCGAGTGCGATGTATTTCATAAACGTGCGTCACTGCGAAAATTCTAAGCTCCCAGAGCGCACACACGATCCACTTGCCGCAAAACTAGAACTTTTATTGCGTGATCTTTTTCGTACTACATAAATAATACGTATGCGTGGCACTGTATTGTAGTACGTATGTAGTATATAGTAACACGTATGTAGTCAACAAACTTGAATCTATTCATTTACCTCCTAGACGCTCTTCAATCCCAACAAGACTGTGGTGAAGATGTTTGTGGTGATGTATGACCTCGCTGACATGCCTCCCAACTGTCAAACGTTTGTGAGACAGCGTATATTCTACATGCCAACCGGAGCAACCTCGGCTGATGCGGGACAGCTACGCTTTCTAATACATCTCAGGTATACTAGTGCATTTAATGCAATATACCGCATAATAGTTGGTAATATTCGAGGCGATAGCAATCAACTCACATTGTTTAATTATTGTTAGTGTTACACATCTCTCATACTCATGTCATGACCTTGTGTGTTAATTTCATTCAGCAAATAATAAATTTCCTATACTGTCATACTTTATACAGGCAAAATACCGAATTCCCTTCAATGCTTATTCCCACTTTAAACTGATCGACTTTTTAAGTCCCAACATCATCTGAGACAGATGCCCCCTTGTAAAGCGAACTATACAGAAAGCTCAACTAAATGGATGATCCTGATGGTGGTTGGTATAGGGAGAGCTGACTGTACAATTTTCTTGGCGATGGTGTTTGTAGTCTACTGAGCTCTATGGCAGCATCTGAACGTAGACTCGTCATTAACTGGTGCCCAGTAGGTGTATCTGCAGCATTTTTCATGCAGGTTTTTTTTTCAAACCATTTTTCAAATGTAAGTGAGTCTTGGCAGATTTGGTTCATGCATGGGTTCTCTTTTTTTGTTACCATACTGGCCGTATTTAATCAGCTATCGCAATTATGGCTTTATGATAGTCTATTGGAACGAGTCAAACGAAATTTGCTAGGAGGCTTCTCAGTAATATCAGGAGCTAATAATAGCTATGTCATAATGATACCATATTAATATATATTAGCTCTCGGTAAAATTCCACGGGTAAGTGTAGAGCAGAGGTGATATTGAAACCTTTCTATGTGCAACGTTGTCCAGTATGGACATTCTTTCGTGCAGGTATGGGTATGTGCCATGCAAGCTTAATTCCGTATTATAATTTAAGAACAGGGTGCTGTCTTTTACTTCTTGTTAAGTTCCAAATTTTTAGCTCATCTGACATAGTCAGATGCAGCTTGTAGAATCGCTTGTCCGTCCGTCCGGTCGGTCGTCCGGTCGTCCGTCAACAGTTGGGCACAAATCTTAACCGCTTGACGTACGGTCACGATATTCGGGTCGTTGGGGGGGATCGTCAAAACGAGTTGGGATGTCGAAG